TTGTTTCTTCTAATTTTTGAATGCTACAAATATTAAAACATGAATATCAAATGCAGTCATTTCAAAGCAACTTTAATTATATTAGATACTTTAATTACCTAAATCTCTTTGGGAATTGATGATGATTTATGTGTGGTTAGATACAAGAATCAAATGAATTATTTGTTTTTGGTGGGATACAATAATAATCATTTGAGGTTGAGATTTCTAAGGATTACCATGGTCTAAGTATTGATGATTTGTTTCTTCTAATTTTCGGATGCTACAAATATTAAAACATGAATATGCAGTTATTTCAAAACAACTTTAATTTCCTTTTAGCTATGATCATTTTACTATAATGTATTAGTAAATGCGTTGGAATTCCAATTTCACTAACATATATTTATGTAGTTAGTGATAGAAGAAAAAGGAGTAAAATTGTGGGAATAAAAGTCAGTATAAAATGTATGAAAAATACATAAGCTAAACCCAATATAGACACAATTTTTGTTACTTTGTATGTAGTTAGTGATAGAAGAAAAAGAAGTAAAAAATTTGGAAATAAAAGTTAGTATAAATAGTATGAAAAAGACATAAGTTAAATCCAATGTAGACACAATTTGTGATAGAGTTAGTGATAGAAGAAAAAGAAGTAAAAATTTGAGAATAAAAGTTAATATAAATAGTATAAAAAAGACATAAGCTAAATCCAATGTAGACGCAATTTGTGCTACTTTGTATGTAGCTAGTGATAGAAGAAAAAGAAGTAAAAATTTGAGAATAAAAATAGGTATAAAAAGTATGACAAAGACATAAACTAAATCCAATGTAAACACAATTTGTGTTATTTTTATGTAGTTAGTGACAGAATGAAAAAAAAAAGTAAAAATTTGGGAATAAAAGTTAGTATAAATAGTATGAAAAAGATATAAGCTAAATTCAATGTAGACAGAATTTGTTACTTTTTATGTGTCTTAACTCAATATATGTTAATAGCATCAAACTAACAAGGGAAGCAAGAAATAAAATGGTATGTCAAAATGTAAAAACATACTTGTTTTAAATAACATACATATAAAATTTAATGATTTGACTAGGTATATCATATGCTTACTTACAAAAAAAATATTAATGAATAACACAATTTAGTCATAAAATTTACGTAGGTGCTACATAATATAATATTCCACCTTATAACATTGGCGTCTAGTAAACTTGTACTAATAACATAGAAAGATTCAACTATTCTGGATCGTGGTCATTGTAAACTTAAGAATCCAATTTCATATATCATTATTAATTGTAAATAAATCTAAAATCACAATATGAAAGAAAAAGGATCATTTATTTGGGCATATATTAAAATCAATAATTTCTTAATAATTATTTATTGTGATTATGTTGTTTGTTAATGGACAAGAAGAAGAAGAAGAAAAACTACTAAAAAGAGAAGAAAAACAAAAATTGCAAATGGATTAAACAATATATTCAACAAATATTTTAGATGAAGATTCCTTACACAAATTAAAATTCTTAAATACTTTACCCAATAGTATCCAAGTCCTTGACAAGTGTGTTGTAGTAAGGAAGAAACATTAGGAAAATATTTACCAATGATCCACAACCAATCATAAAAGAAATAATAACATCATTTTAACTCAACCTTAACTGATTGAGATCCACTTAGTAAACCTAAAACGGACTAGCTTTGTACAAGAGGAGGGAAATTTTGGGTTAACATTACATAAAAGTCTAAACTCTAAAGACAAAAAATATTATAGATTGAAGTTTAATTAGTATTGGGTTTAATAGTTATTAAAAAACACATTTTCAATTTTCAATGTAATTTTTTTCTTTATTTTTGTGAGAATAAGTTCAATCATTTTTTATATTTCTTGAGTCAATTTGTAGTGTATTTAATCTTCTTAATCCATTATAATATCTAACATTTAATGAGCCATTATATGATGGTTAGTGGGAAGTAAATGTTAGGAGTTAGTGAAAATTTATGTCTTTAGTCTCATAGGTTGCATAATTTTGCCTATAGAGTAAGCTTTTAAGTACAATTTACATATTAATCAAATTAAGTGTGTTCTCATTGTGAGATCTTCCCCTTTGTTCTTGGTTTAAGAACTTTATAGTGTTCCTGATAGGTCACATTTAGAGTCATACTTTATTGATAATCGTGGTTCAACTACCAAGTCGTGATTTGAGTGAAGTTCTTGTTCTTATCCTTTACCTAATTCAAGATGATCCATAAAGTGAATTTCATATCATTAAGAAAACAAGTTTATAGGGTTTTTTCACTTATATTTTACTCAATTATTCCATTTATACATAATGTAAGACTTGTACTCATACTTGAACTTTAACAATCTCCCTTTCAAGTTGGTCCTCCATATTAGGACATGAAAAATAACAAGATTATCTCTAGTAGCATTGGACAAATGATCATCATCATCACAATCCTTGTTTTGTAACATGTCTTTCTTGTGTATATACTCATTTTTTCTAAAATAAAAAAAAAAAAACATTTATCACCACTAGGATACAACATTAATAATGGAAATGTGAAATGTCTCCCAAGAATTAAATAGAATTAACAATGAGAATAGTCCCAACATATCATCATTAACTTTTACATCTACTATTAACAAATAACCAAAGTGTCCTTGAAAATCACTCAAGTGATTTACAATGGCAATGTTGTTCATTCCTACTTCAATTCTACAAATTTTTTCAATAAGTGCAATTTGTTGTTCTTTGGTTTATAAGTGTATAAGGATTCAAACTTCTCCACAAGGTTCTCACATATGCCCCATGAACAATAAGATCGTATACATCGTCTTCCAAAAAAATACCCATGATATTCTTCCTCTCCTCGCAAATATAAATACATGGTAATGTTGCCCAATGAATGTTGGTCAATGACGTGGGGAGTAACAACAAGGAAAAATTTACAAGTCAACCACACAAAGAACATGACACTATCTTGGACCAAAAACCTTAAAGTAATAAGTTCATGCATCTTTCTTACTTATATTACTTAAATTTCTAGTTTTTATACAACATGAGACTCAAAGTCACTCTTGAAATCCAACAACCTCCCCTATAAGTATGATACTCCCCCTCAAGTGTAAATATTTGTTAATCACAAGTAGCTCAGTCATGACCGTTATTTATATCGTTCTTTACAATAATGGGACACACTTGAAATAAGGGATCAACAAATCTAGGATTTGCAACTCACTCCATATCATACTCATTTGAGTCCATTGCCTAAACAAACTATCGGCTTTGATTCCACATGTGGCATAATAACAAGTATAAGCACTTTAAGTTTTAAATTATAATACAGGATTTGCAACAACAACAATGGGAAGAAATCCATGGATCACAATTCAACCTAATAAGAGAACATAAAATCATCTTTAATCTAAAGCCTTAAGAAGGTAATAGATTTGTGAGTCTATCTTACCTATGTTACTCAACTTCCCGATTTTTATACAATGAGGAATCAAACTCACTTGAATTTCATCATCAAATTCTTTCAAAACATAAATTTAACACTTATTCCATAATACCAAATTCTATTCAAAAAGAAAAAAAAATCTAAAATAGTGAAAAATTAACAATATGTGTTACAGCCTTGGAATTTATTATTTCAAAATGCTAGCATTACTCATTTTGTTTTCTTTTTCTTTACACACTCTTCTATTCATTTAAACTTATTAAAAATCAGTATATTTCCACGTCTTATTTAATGAATTGTCCATAGTGTGGTTTTCAATAAATTTTAACCGAGAGCAGTAGAAAAGTGGGTTAGAATGTGTAGTTGTTAACAACAACACTCTTCTTTTAAGATTGTAATTAATGTCGTCCAATAAATTGAAATGTGATTGACCCACGTACATTAAAGGAGAGCAAAGTAAAACATGACAATGAGAAATTAGTGAAGGAGAAGAAAAATATAAGGATAACTAAAATATGATGAAGGAAGGAAGTCAAAGTGTGGAGAAATTCCATGGAAGAGAGATGCCTAACTATATTGTCAGTTTTCTTCATTCCTTTGTGATTGAATTTAATATTGTTTCGTCTGGAAATTAGCATGTTCTAACTTCAAATCCATTATGATAATATTGTTAGGATTAATAATTGTATTCAAGATATTGTCTACTTTGCATCTCTACTCCATCATGATTTTATCTTTAAAAAGTGTTGGTTTTATGTTTAAAAGGGACATCAGTGGGTTAAGAGAAAAGGATGTTTATAGACTACTCTTAGTGTTGATTCCTAAGCAATATGAGATTTATGAGTCTATCAAGAATATAACTCTCTAGTGAAGGACTCAAGGGAAGGAATGGATCAAAACTCTATTTTCGACTCCATAGTAGGTGTCAATGTTCTATGTAGAAACAAGAGTCATCAGACCTTAAATATGTTATAATAATGTCGTTAACTTCAATCACCACATTCAAAGCATTGTGCGTTTTGAAACTTTAATCCATAATGATTTTATCCTTAAATTATGTCTCAGTATATTAAGAAAAAATGGTGTGTATATCTTAATCTCGAGTCCTAAACAATTTAGAACGTATGAGTATACCGAAACAAATACAATTTAGGGGTAGTTTACTATTTTAATTGGTATTTTCAAAAGAGAAATTTTCTCAACTGAAAGGTGCTAAGCACCATTTCTTCTACCCTTCTAGTTGAATACTATTCTGACTTATTGTTTCCAACAATGTGGATGAATTACACTTAAATTTAGTTAATATAGCAAAAAAGGTTAAGTATTTCTGTAAGTAAATAAATCAATAAATAAAAGACACACGTAAGAACAATTTAGTGCTCTTGGTAAATTACATAATTCAATTGCAATAGAATTTTGACTTTAGCGTAACATGCAGAACAATTCAGAATCTGTTGTATGCAATTTTCATCTAGCAACATGAATACATAAAAAAATAAAAATGAGCGTCCAATGGATTAACGAAGAAAAAATTAAATATACTCACGCGTTGTGGAATAGGTATGCCTTTCCCCTCCGGCAATGAAACGACTGACAGAAGGGTGATAGAAGATTAATATGAGAAGTAATTTAACAACCCAGCAAAGCAGTTACACATAGAGCATTATATTGGCAATAACCAAGCAAATCAGTATTGCAGACATTATGCATGACTTTAGAAGTAACACATTTAGCTTTTTATCTTTTCTCAAGTCACACACTAAATGTTGAGATATATATTTAATTGATAGAAACATGAAGTTATGAATATCATGGAAAGACACCACCATAGAATAAGATGAGTACAAGGTATTAAAAGCAATCAAGCAGGAAAGAAGTAAAAAATTACAAGGCAAATAGTGAGTTCACACTGAAACTTGGTACTTGAAGCTGTAGTGTATATTCTTTGTACAATTAATTTCTGAACTCATCATGGAGACACATTAGTCTCCCTGAGTGTGTATTTTACAATGTACAGCATTAACAGAAGAACTACCAATGTGTCATCACAGTCCAATTATTTTACCATTAGATAATTTTGATCCCCAATTATTGCTAAATAGGATTGAAAAGCACAATGATTGAATTGAATGGTATGAAGGACTCATTTAGCAAATTACATTTTTTTTACATTAGGATTTGTTGCCAACGTAGCCATGGAAATTCTTTTCCAGTAAGAATAGATGAGCAACTATGCTATAGGCCTTTTTGTAGGTGCAAAACGGGAATGCTTACATTGGGAAAGATAATAGCAAACAGTGTTCATAAAGGGTACCAAAGGCTAAGATCCAAAAATATGGTAGAGCTACTAGAAAACCTGATTTCAGAAAAAGTACAAACTTTGAAGGCTGATAAGAGTAAGAAACAAAATCATAAATCTAAGTACCAAACAGAAAAAATTTCAATGAACGTCCAACAACTCAAAATACATTGTTGACATTGACTGGTTTAAAAAATTACATAAGCCATCTGTAATTTCATTAACAAAACTACCAACACAAAATTTTCATAATATTCAGATCCTCTGATCCAGCTTCAGCCAAGGTATAACCTATGGTTACAGTTCAATGGGGCAAGCGGTGTTCATATTCCAATATATGAAAATATCCATAAAATGATTAACTGTTGTCTCAAATAGACTATGTCCTAAAGGGTAGTATTGTTCATTCATAAACAGTAATTTAGAGAGAAAAATGAAAACGTGGGCAGAATAAAATAATAAGGTAAGGTAAAGTACCCTGGAGATGAGATCATCTTCAAGGGCCAAGTGAGTTTTACAGAATTTGCATCTATAAGACCTGCCCTCAAGCTCCACCACAAAGATTCTTCCCATCTTTCTTTCTGCTCTACGTGGGTTTTGCTGTCACCACCTTCACTCCGTTGAATTGCTCGTAGCGGTTCATGGAAAGAGAAAGAACAATCGCACTGCCTCTGTCACTGGAAACTAGCTGTTCAAAGAGACACGTGTTGGTGTTACTGCTCTCAGAAAATAAAAGTACTAACATTGATTAATTTTAATTTATTTTTTTATGGTGAATAGGTATCTATTACAACCGTACACTGCAAAGGTTAGTTTTCGAGTATTTAACTTTAGGAAGGTTAATAATAAATAATTAAATAATAGGTCTTAATTTATTCAAGACAAGGCACATGGCATATCTTACTCGGTTTCTAGATATTTCAGCTTAAGAAACAATCACGATTTCTAAAAATGCTGAGATTTGAATTCCTATTTTTATATTAATTACCATTTACAAAAATAGATTTTAATCTCCTCATTTGACTATATTCTTTCCCAATTCCATAGTATTTAAAAAATTGTTAAAAAATTAGTAATAATACTTCATAGTCTTATCGAAACTAAATTTAATTTATTTTAGGTATGTGATTTGGAAGAAATTAATTGGTCATAATTTAATGTGATTAATTTTATAAGTTAGGACACTTGTCTCTTCTGTATTCACTTTGTTGAAATGTTTTATTAATCATGATGATAATTGATGTGGACATCAAAGTTCAAGTTCATCTAAGTACATTCTAATATAAGGTTTAAGGTTTGTAAATTGGCTGCAATGTTTTAGAATGATGGAAGATTTTTTTAACTGAAGTAAAAGAATAAAGAAAAAAATAAAAAAGGTTTAATGGGCTTCGATTGAGGTGGATATCGTTCCATCCAAGCTTTTTGGATTTCTATCTTTTCTCAAATAGCAATTATAATAATAGTAGCTAAATAAAGAGTCATAAGTATATTTTTTTCAGGATGAATGGGTTTCAAGATTAGCTTTCGGATTTTTTTTTAAATAAATAATTATTATTTTTATCTTTAATATTATATAATATTAATTAACTACTTATATATAAAAAAAATGATGTTGAAAAATTATATATATATATATATATATATATATATATATATATATATATATATATAAACCCCTAAACTCTACACAAATATTGTTAAAAAAATTAAAATCCATAAAGAAAATTTTATGTATATAATTTGATGGGATAAAAATCAAAGACAATATTTTACAAAATTAAAATTAAAATTCACATATTTTATAAGATTTAATAAGTGATTTTAAACTTTACCGAATAAATAAAAGATATAAAAACTTATTAATTTTATAACTAATCTTTTGTGCTAATATAAATTTTTCTTATAATAATTTATCTAGGATAAAAAATATTCCAAAAATCTAATACACGTTTTTTTTATCTAGATCTTATGTTATAGAATCTGAAATGGAGTGATAACAAGAAAAATATTCATATTTTAAATTATAATTCAGACATATTAAACAGTGAAAAAAATTAATATTTTGTGAGATATAATTTAAACTTATTTTTAATCATAATAGAAAAATAAAATAAGAATAATGATACTAATTTTAAAATTTAGGTAAAGAATCACAAATTAGAATAAGAACCACAAATAGGTAAACTATAAATGGAAAACAAAATATGATTGTTAGATATTGTTTATATATTATTTGATATTGTTAAGATATTGTTAGATATTGGTAACCACAATATCAAACAATATCTTCTGTTTATTCTGTTACTTTCAGTTACTCTTTTAGTTGTATTTCTCTACTATAAATAGACCACCCTATGTGTGATTTATACACAAGAGAAATTAATTCCAAACTATATTTTCTTTATATTCAACATGGTATCTAGAGCTTAAGGTTATCTTGAATTTTTTTCCGCCTTTTGTCCACCGTTGGAGCCGCCCCACCGCCGCTAGAGCCGCCCCACCGTCGCCGGTAAACCGATCCTCCACATCGAAAAGAATTATCTTTGTCATTGAATTTTATTTGGTAGTGTGAAAGTGCATGTTTAGGAAAGTTCCGCAAGGAAAGACTTGGTATTTAAGTGTGTCCATTAGTGACCCACCTCTCTTTCCCGGGAACTTACCTAGTGTACTAGTTCACGTTACCGTCACCGCCGCCACTGGAGCGAGCCACCGGGTCCGCCGCTATCTGAGAATTCGCCGGAGTTTCATTTTTTTTTACCGGTGACATATGATTTTGCTTGTCTCGGTCAGTGGTTTGTTCTCCCGCTCTTCATGACTTCTTCCACTATTTCCAATTTTGTTAACGATTCTTTTGTGTTGACATCCCATCGTGATGACCGGCTCGCCCTCGCAAACAGGAAAATGGCGTCCTAAGTGTGAACATCGTGGCAAGCTAGGTCACAAGATTAACAAGTGTTATACATTACATGGTCGTTCTCCTCGATCGCTGTAGTTGTTCGCACCAATCTTTCCCCACCTTTATCTCGTAGGGATCTTCCTTCTTCTGTTGCATCCGACATGTCTCGCTATGTTCAACAAATTTCTCGAATGGTATAAGGATCAACAGCTCTTCTAGTTCCACTATATCCGTCACACATACAAATACATATTTTGCTGGTCCGACCCAATCATTTTCTCCTGGTCCTTGGGTTTTTGATTCAGAGCCACCGATCATATTACCGGTAACAAATCTTTGTTCTCCTCTTTATCCTCTCCTAATCATTTACCTTCTGTTACACTCGGGCCGATGGCTCTAGAGTATCATCTCATGGTGTTGGAACGGTTAAACTCTTTCCTTCTTTAACCATTGATAATGTTCTTTATGTCCCCGGGTCTCCTTTTAACCCGTTGTCCATCGTCGTCTAACTCGTTCTCTTGATTGTGTTGTTACTTTTACCAACAATTCCGTGTGTTTACAGGACCTGAGTTCGAAACAGGTGATTGGCACAGGATGTGAGTCTCATGGTCTTTATTATCTCCGTCCCTCTACACATGTTAGTACAGTTATGGAGTCTCCTCTCTTCTTCATGCTCGCTTAGGTCATCCAAGCCTTGCCAAGTTACGTAAACTTGTCCCCGCCTTGTCTAACTTATCTAGTTTGGCGTGTGAGTCATGTCAATTAGGCAAGCATAGTCGTACTTCCTTTCCTCGTAGTTTCACACGTGGTGCTTCGTCCCCTTTTGCCGTGGTTCACTCGACATTTGGGGACCTAGCCGCGTTAAGTCTACTTTAGGTTTTCAATACTTTGTTACTTTCATTGATGATTATTCCGGATGCACTTGGTTATTTTTGATGAAAAATCGTTCGAATTATTTCATATCTTTCAAACTTTTTTTAATGAAATTCAAACTCAGTTCGGTGTTTCTATTAGAGTTTTGCGTAGTGATAATGGCCGTGAATATCTTTCTCATTCTTTTAAACAATTCATGGCTTCTCACGGTATTTTGCATCAAACTTCTCGTGCTTATACACCTCAACAAAATGGTGTAGCTCGAACGTAAAAATAGACATCTTATTGAAACAACTCGCACACTTTTAATTCATGGAGATGTTCCTCAACATTTTTGGGGTGATGCTCTTCTTACCGCATGTTATCTCATTAATCGCATGCCTTCTTCGGTTTTAGATAATAAAATACCTCATTCCATTTTATTCCCTCATGAACCACTTCATCCTTTACCTCCGAAAGTTTTCTGGTCTACATGTTTTGTTCATAATTTCAATTCTGGTCCGGACAAGCTTTCTCCTAGATCACATAAATGTGTTTTCTTAGGGTTTACAAGATCACAAAAAGGATACAAATGTTTTTCTCCTTCTCTTAACCGTTATTTTGTGTCAAAAGATGTCACCTTTGATGAGTTGTCTCTTTATTTTAAAAGTCAAACTTCACCTCTCGTCTCCATCCAATCTTGTCAACACTCCTAATACATTTAATGTTCCCGTTGTTTGTGACCCTCTAATTGTGTCTTCTTCACCATTAGTTTCTGCTCCGCAGCTTAGCTTCTTCTCCACTCGCCTCTTCGTATTTATAGTTCTCGAAACCAATCACAACCACCACCATGTGACTCTACTCAAGTGCCAACTACTCTGTCTCCTCCGGATCCGACACATGAGTCCGACCTTCCCATTGCCCTCCGAAAAGGTATTCGTTCTACACGTAATCCCTCTCCCCATTATATTGCTTTGAGTTATCATCGATCGTCATTACCTTTTTATACATGTCTTTCCTCTATTTCTTCCGTGACCATTCCAAAAACCGTTCGTGAAGCTTTAGCCCATCCCGGTTGGCGTCAGGCCATGTTAGATGAACTAAGTGCTCTTCATAATAGTGGAACTTGGGAATTGGTCCCGTTACCGTCCTGGGAAATCTGTTGTTGGTTGCAGGTGGGTGTTTGCTATCAAAGTTGGACCCGATGGTACTATTGATCGCCTCAAAGCTCGTCTTGTGGCCAAAGGTTATACTCAAATTTTTGGGTTGGATTATGGAGATACCTTTTCCCCCGTGGCAAAGATGGCTTCGTTCGTTTATTTATCGCCATGGCTGCTCTTCAACAATGGCCTCTTTATCAACTCGGATGTTAAAAATGCTTTCCTCAATGGTGATTTGCAAGAAGAAATATATATGGAGCAACCTCCTGGGTTTGTTGCTCGGGGGAGTCTTCTCGGGATGGTATATCGTCTTCGCAAATCCCTATATGGCCTAAAACAGTCTCCTAGGGCTTGGTTTGGAAAGTTTAGCAAGGTTGTTCAACAATTTGGTATGACTCTGTGTGAATCAGATCATTCTCGTCTTTTATCGACACTCGAGTGCTGGATGTGTTTACTTGATAGTATATGTTGATGATATTGTTCTTACAGTGTAGTGACAACCATGGCATCTCTCAGTTGAAACAACATCTTTGTCACCATTTTCGGACCAAAGATCTTGGCAAACTTAGATATTTCTTGGGTATTGAGGTAGCACAGATCCAATGATGGTATTGTTATATCTCGGAGGAAGTATGCCATAGATATTTTGGAAGAAACTGGGTTGATGAGTTCAAAGTCTGTTGATACACCCATGGATCCCAATACTAAACTTCTACCAAATCGTGGGAGCCTATATCTGATCCTCGAGCAAGTATAGAAGATTGGTTGGAAAATTGAATTATCTTACAGCTTACTCGTCCCGACATTTCCTTTGCAATCAGTGTGGTAAGTCAATTTCTTAATTCACCATGTGAAGATCATTGGAATGCAGTCATTCGTATCTTGAAGTATATTAAAGGATCTCCTGGAAAAGGATTGTTATATGCTTCTAATAACCATACAAGAGTTGTTTGCTACTCGGATGTCGATTGGGCAGGATCTCCTTCTGATAGAAGATCTACATCCGGATATTGTGTCTCCATTGGTGGTAACTTGATTTCATGGAAAAGTAAGAAACAAAGTGTTGTGGCAAGATCCAAGTGCGTAGCTGCAATATAGAGCTATGGCCTCAGCCTTCCTGTGAACTTGTTTGGCTCAAGCAATTGCTTAGAGAGTTACAATTTGGAGATGTCACTCAAATGACACTTGTGTGTGACAATCAGTCGCTCTTCATATTAGTTCTAATCCTGTCTTTCATGAGAGGACCAAACACATTGAGATTGACTGTCATTTTATTCGAGAAAAGATTATGTCTGGAGATATCAAGACCGAGTTTGTTAACTCAAGTGATCAGCTAGCGAGATATTTTTACTAAATCTTTACTGGGTCCTAGAATTGATTATATTTGTAACAAGCTTGGCACATACGATTTGTATGCTCCAAGCTTGAGGGGGAGTGTTAGATATTGTTTATATATTATTTGATATTGTTAAGATATTGTTAGATATTGGTAACCACAATATCAAACAATATCTTCTGCTTATTCTGTTACTTTCAGTTACTCTTTTAGTTGTATTTCTCTACTATAAATAGACCACCCTATGTGTGATTTATACACAAGAGAAATTAATTCCAAACTATATTTTCTTTATATTCAACAATGATAATAAAAATAAATGAAAGAAAAATATTGGAAAATGATTTTGTTTGAGTATCATTATAAGAATATATATTATATAAGATTTTGAATAATCATTATATGATTAGATGAAAAAAATAAAGAAAGCACGAATTAGAAACAATAAAAAGTTTACTCTAAGTGTCTAAAGCTAAAAGAGTTGAAAATATCATTTATTGGATCATTTCATATTATAGAATGTTATTGGACAATTAAATTTATAAATAATAGAGAAAACACTGTAAACAAGAATATTTGATATGTTAAGGAATCAAGAATGAAATGTTAAAAAAAATTAAAAGTGGTTTAATTAAGATCTTAAGAACAATAACGAATCTTCTTGGGAATTGAGGGGATTGTGGCCCCTAAAGTTTCGTAATAACTGTAGTCCTTCTATGGTTGTTATGTAGCCTATTTATTGGACTAGTGAATAAAACACTATAACTAGTGTGTGTGAGAGAGAGAGACAGAGAAACACATAAGTTAACCTTCTTTTGTCCTCCTTTATTAGTTTTTATAGCAATGACTATTGATTCAAGTTTTGTACAAGTTGTCATTTCTTGTTTTGATGGTCACTATGACCATTGAGTATGCTTATGGAGAACTTTTTACAAGCAAAATAATTTTGGACAATTACTAAATTTGGAATTACAAGCAAAATAATTTTGGACAGTTACTAAATTTGGAATTCAAGAGCCACCAGGAGGAAGAATTTGAGGCACACAAACACAAAGATCTAAAAGAAAAAAAATTATCCTTTTCAAGCTATTGATCATCAAACCTTGCAAACTATTATTTGCAAAGATATTTCTAAAGATATTTGGGATTCAATAAAGAAAACATGTTACGGCTCTACTAGGGTGAAGCACACACAAGTAAACTTTGAGGAGAGATTTTGAAATTTTGTAAATGAAGGATGAAGAATCTATTACTAGCTTCTTGGAGAAGACCGTAGAGAATGCAAAGAAAATGAGATGTTGTGGAGAAAAAATTGAAGATGTTATTATAGTAGAAAAAAGTTTACGCTCCATGATACATATGTTGTTTGCTTCATTGAGGAGTCAAAACACATAGATACCCTTTCTCTTGATGCATTGCAAAGTTTGTTGTTGATTCATGAGCCGAAAATGATCAAAAATTCAACCACAAACGAACAAGCTTTGAAAGTTTCTTCAAATACCCAATTCAAGGACTCAAGAGGAAGGGGCGCAGATGGAGGAAGAGGAACGGGAGATGAAGGACATAATAAGGAAAACAGACATTTCAAAGGTAATAATGATCAATTTTATAATAGAAGTTGTGGAGGACATGATAATAACAAATCTAAGGTATAATGTTTTAGATGTCATAAATATGTTCATATTTTGAATATAAGTTCAACTTTTATTGTTCAAATATGACACTAGAAGAAGCATTGAGTGGGAGAGAACCAGACATGGAGCACTTTAGAATGTTGGATGCATTGCCTTTGCCCATGTTCTAAATCAGAAAAGA